AAGCTGCAAGTGGACAACAGGGGATGGATCATTTAATAGTTGGCCTTTTCTGTTCATTCCATCTGAAGCATCTGGCACTCATCTCTGTTGGAAGACAGGATACTGGGCTTGATGTACCATTGGTCTGACCTGGCATTTTTATGTTCTTACTAAGCTGAAAGAACATTTTCTAAGAGGCTAGTATTTTTTTAAATACTCTGTTTAGAGGAGCAGAATACTTGTTTAATAGGCTATTTCATATTTAGGATGCCAGCTTGAGTCCTTCCCAGATTGGTAGTAGCCAAAGTAATTACAACAGTGTCTCCTGAAATTCAGTAAATCACAAAAACCATTTCTGATTAACTACAATGATTAACTGGAAAAATATGATAACAACAATAATGAACTAAGCGAGGTCCTTATTTACAAGCTATACCCAGCCACCTCCATTCTTGGGTTCAGGGTCCAAAAGTATCTGCAACTGCTGCCAAGTGACAACTCTTTCAAACTCTGACCCACAGAATTTTCCAGAGCTTAAAGGGACAGTGACCTCCTCAGAATATCCAAAGCTCCATAGATCACAAAGTCTATGTGAATTCTGGTGAGTGCTGTGCGAACTGTGTTGTTAGTCTCTCCAGTTCCCAGTGGATAAGTATTCATGTAACAAAAAAAATATAAACCCCATGACCACAAATGATGCCCTGGTTGCAAATCTCAGCAGACAGGTCAAGAATTAAATGGAATCAAACCGATTCACTTTTTGTCGCTAGAGCTGGGCTCTCCGGTTGGCCCAGAGGTCCACTGGTGGGACAGTGGAGGGAAATCGCACATTGCTGTATTTCTGCTCTAGATAAAAAGAGAGCTCAGATAAAACATTCAAAAGTACTTAGTGATGCGTGGGGCTTCAGTTCCCAACCTGAGGCACCATAAAGCAGCCCAGTTTTCAGAGGGCGGATGTGCAGCACTTCTGAAAATTGAGACATTTTAAGATGTGTCAGTTTGGTAATCCAGGCATGGCGACACCCCAAAATCACAGGTCCCCTTGGAAAACCTTGGCTCTTCTGTCCCTAAAATGGCTAGTCTGGTATCCTTCCAAACATTACATTGACTTGATTTTTTTTTTCAAATGGAGCCCAAAAACATAAAGGTCCCAGAGATTTTCAAATGGAGCCCAAAAACATAAAGGTCCCAGAGATTTTATGATTCTCTATATCCCTCAGTTCTCCATTTCTGTCCAGGGAAACAGTCTGTCCCAGACTGTGCAAAGGGTTGTGCAGAGGGCCAGTCCTGAACTTTGGTCTAACAATCTGGTGTCAAAAGCTGTGTTTGCCTGCTGGCAACTCCTCCAGCATGGGCAGGTTGCCTTGCGTGCTGCCTTAATTGGATGCTTGGTCATTTCCATGGCCCTATCATTTTCCAGAGAACAGCTGTATTCTGCAAGAAGTGTCCTCTCACCGTGAAAGCTGCAGAGCCAGCAAGCAAAGCAGCTTTCTTGCTAGGTCTCTATTTTTTTTCCTGCAGGAGAGGAAAGATGAAGTTGTGCAGTGTAGGTCTCCTTCATCACTACCTGCTGTTCTCATAGGGAAGGAGGTTATACTAAAATAATAATAATACCCTCTGTAGACTGTGCTTACAATAAGCAAGTGCTACCTTTTTCCAACCAGGAGCTGAATATATCTCTGAATTAATCCTCCCTCCCCCAACACATTTCATTTGTACAATTTTGAATATATGCAAAAGGCTACATCAAGTCCATTGAAACCTATTAATAGTCACCTGTTGGACAAGTATATTTCTAGCAGTTTTACTAGGTGTTTTTTTTTTTATTGTTGTACAGTATGATTAATTTACCAATTACTTTCCCAAGCACTTAGATTTTACTAGCTTTCACAATGGTAACTCATTCATATTTTCTGACAATTAGCACAGATCTTGCTGTCAAATCTTAAAGGAAATCAAAATTTCAAAGTAAAAAAAGAACAGTAAATTCAAGGCTCTGTTGTTCAGCGTTTGCTCCTGTTTTACACCACATCCCTGTAATCAGCTCCCCAGTTGAAACATGGGTTGCAGCATTACCAGACTTCTTTTTTTAAATGTCTTGGTGTGGCACTACTGAGACACACACAGATGGATTCCCCTAAATATGACTCCCTGAGATTTAGCAACAGACCTTCTATACTGTCTGTTCTGAATAACTGGCAGGGCTGCTTTGGACTCTCTTTGAAAAAGAAAGCTTATCTTAGGACTTGTCAAAACAGTTTTTGTGGTGCTTTAGCTATACTGGTGTGAAACTGGTATAGTTACATTGGTACAATGCTGAGTGTGGACACAGTTATAGGGGAATAAGCTGTAGCAATATAAGGCACCTTTATACTGTTATAACTGCACCCATTCTAGGGGCTGTACTGATATAACTATTTCAGTAATAAAATAAATAAATAAACAACAAATAAAAAAATCACAGCCCTTACACGAAAATAGTTAAATCAGTACAAAAACTGTGTGTTGAGCAAGCCTTTGGATTCAGTTCTTCAAAGTGAAGAGGAAAAACTGTTTCATAATAAATCAGTGAAGGGGGATAAAGCATTTCCAGGCAAGTCATAGCATCTCCACCTTTTTGCTTGTAATATGACATTGGATGCACATGGGAATGGAGAAAGGTTTGCACTGTGCAAAAATAACCTGGATTTGATAACCCAGCAGTTCACTGTGCGTCTTTGTTCTTCAGCAGATTTGTAATGGATGTTTTGGAACTGCAAAAATGTCGGTAAAGAAAGGTGGCTAATCTTTACCAGATCACTGTATAAATCCAGCCGTGTGAGACCTTTTGATCTGTGACTAGCAATCAACTTCTCTCTGCGTCACTTATCACCACTGACTATGTACAGTAGGTAGTACATTCCTGGGTTAATAAATAGTTTCTGGAGTTTGGTACCAGCCCAACAGCACTTTTCTCCTAATGTTTAGTCATAGATTCAAATTCAGAGATGTTTAAGGCCAGAAGAGCCCATTAGATTATCTAGTCTGCCCTGCTGGGCACACTATCAGAGGCTCGTTCACCTGCACATCCACCAATGTGATATATGCCATCATGTGCCAGCAATGCCCCTTTGCCATTTACATTGGTCAAACTGGACAGTCTCTACGTAAAAGAATAAATGGACACAAATCAGATGTCAAGAATTATAACATTCACAAACCAGTCGGAGAACACTTCAATCTCTCTGGTCACGCAATCACAGACATGAAGGTCGCTATCTTAAAACAAAAAAACTTCAAATCCAGACTCCAGCGAGAAACTGCTGAATTGGAATTCATTTGCAAATTGGATACTATTAATTTAGGCTTAAATAGAGACTGGGAGTGGCTAAGTCATTATGCAAGGTAGCCTATTTCCCCTTGTTTTTTCCTACCCCCCCCCCCAGATGTTCTGGTTTAACTTGGATTTAAACTTGGAGAGTGGTCAGTTTGGATGAGCTATTACCAGCAGGAGAGTGAGTTTGTGTGTGTATGGGGGTTGGGGTGTGTGTGAGAAAACCTGGATTTGTGCTGGAAATGGCCCACCTTGATTATCATGCACATTGTAGGGAGAGTGGTCACTTTGGATGAGCTATTACCAGCAGGATAGTGAGTTTGTGTGTGTGGTTTTTGGGAGGGGGGTGAGGGGGTGAGAGAACCTGGATTTGTGCAGGAAATGGCCCAACTTGATTATCATGCACATTGTGTAAAGAGTTGTCACTTTGGATGGGCTATCACCAGCAGGAGAGTGAATTTGTGTGGGGGGGTGGAGGATGAGAAAACCTGGATTTGTGCTGGAAATGGCCCAACTTGATGATCACTTTAGATAAGCTATTACCAGCAGGACAGTGGGGTGGGAGGAGGTATTGTTTCATATTCTCTGTGTGTATATAAAGTCTGCTGCAGTTTCCACGGTATGCATCCGATGAAGTGAGCTGTAGCTCACGAAAGCTCATGCTCAAATAAATTGGTTAGTCTCTAAGGTGCCACAAGTACTCCTTTTCTTTTTACAGACCAGAGAATGTCACCAATTACCCCCTTATGGGGCCCAATAAATTCAGTTTGGTAACTGTTTAGATCACTCCTTGGCACGCGTACCTGAGTTTTCATCAACATCACTCTCAGCTCTCATAGTCCATGACTCTTATCAACAGCAGAATGGGTATCTAGCAAGGACCTACAGTTCTCAAAATAACAGGAGCTCTAAGTAGCCAGTAAAATATTTTCCAAACCTTCTCATAATTTGTGAATATCTAAAAGGGATGCTAATGTTGGGACGCTTGGACTTATCTTGTTTTGGCCTCAGTGCTCCTCAGATATGTATGTTACAATGGTCCCAATCTTGCCAGCATTTTGTGTGTGGAAATCCCATTAAAAACAACAGGAGTGCTGAGCATCGATCGATTGCAAGATTAGCCCAAATAATAACCACACTTTCTATTTAGGCTCGGATCCAGCAAAGCATATGCTTCACTTTAACTTCAAAGCATTTACAAGCAGTTAATTTGTGTGCGCAATACCCCTGTTTGGTCAGTATTATTCACATGTTAAAGGTGCAGGAACTGAGGCCGAGAGGCTATGGCCCAGAGCCTCAAAGGTATTTGGGCACCTAACACCCACTGAAATCAATAGGAATTAAAGGTATTTAAGTGCTTAACTCCCACTGATTTCAATGGGAGTTAGCTGCCTAAATAACATTGAGGATCTGGGCCAAAGTGACCTACCCACGGTCACCAAGAGAAGTCAGTGCTGGAGCCAGGATTAGACCGAGGACCTACCCACCACCATTTCTGCCTCTCTCTCTCCCAAACCACCTGCAAATGATACTTCTGATAAGTTGTTGCACAAAATCAGTTTGCAGACAGAAGATGCATAAATGGAATTTACCATGAACCTTTCACATGCTAACAGGAAGAAAGAGTATTTAAGAGAATGAATAAAAAAAGTGGAAGGGGGATATTTCTCTGAGCAGTCTAGATAATCAAAATCACTAAAGATCAAGATTAAATTTTATCTTAGTTTATTAGAAAAAAAGGAACACAGTTTAATGTGCAAATATATACAACAAACATCACAATGAAACAGCAGGAAGACAGAGTCGCTCTCCTCTGTTTAATGACTTTTAATCCTTCATACCAGAGATGACTGTTTTAATGCTTTCCCAAAGATTTACATATACAAAGTGTAATGCTTTGTTTGCACAAGACTTCATTTATTTATTTATTTTTATTTGAACAACAAATACCCTGGCTTTGAAATTGAAAAAAGTCTGTTATTTTGGTGACTTTTTTTTTTTTTAACCTGAGGAATTCTGCAGAACAGGGGAACAAAGAAAAGGCATTGCCCTGCACTTCATTCTGATCACAGCATCTGATGGTCTTTTAATTCCTAAGCCACTGAATTATTTAAAATGAATGCAGTCCCCAAACCCACATCTATTACAGCACTAGCAACAGTGAAAAGAAGGAGCTCTACCCCTGGCTGAAGTGAACTGATTGAAAACACTGGTCTTGAGTTAGAAACATGTTGAGATTTTTCAGTTATAATGCAATCATTTCTGCCTCTAATGTAATTAATGCTGCTGCATGTGATGGTGGCCTTAGAAATAAGTGAAAAATATATTTTATCCTTCTGAGCAAAAGGGTCCTGGGGTCCTGCAAATCCTTGCTCAAATCATATAGACTGCAGAATATGGCTTAAGCCCCACACAGGAAAGAATCTGAGCATGTGCTTAATTTTAAGCAAGCACTTAAATCCCTCCCTGCTCAGCAAAGGCCTTAAGCATGTGATTAAGCTGGGGCTCAAGTGCTTTGTTGAATGAGCACCGTACTGTATTGTAGCATACAAGGGATGTCTATGCTGCAGCTGGGAGGTGTGATTCCCAGCAAAGGCAGACAGACCTGTGCTAGCTCAGCTTGAGCCAGCATGCTAAAAATAGCAGCGTGGATGTTGCGGCATGGGCAGCAGCTGGGGCTAGCTGCCCAAGTCCAAGCCCATTTGCCCCAGGGTTCTGAGTTCAGATGGCTAGCCGGAGCCGCTGTCAATTTCACACTGCTATTTTAGCGGGCTAGCGTGAGTCTGTCTGCCCACACTAAGAATCCCACCTCCCAGCTGCAGTGCGGACATACTCACAGAAATTGAGAAACAATAGTTCAAATCTGCTGTCTCTACTGAGGTCAGCAGAAGTTCTGCCTGAGTAAAAACAGCGGGGTTTGGCCCAAATTAAGGAGTTAGAATTGTATGGTCCATCCTGTATCAGCCTGCTATTCACAAAGGCAGATCAGCTCACGCTAACAAAGATTTACAAATGGGATGGCAGATTCTTCAGAGCACCGTGTGGTTGATTAGAAGGGATCCTGCCTCGTTAAGGGATAGCACTCTCAGGCAAAGGAAGACACTGGGGGAAACAGTTTTCCTTTTTCTGATGAGTAGACATTAATGCTCTCGCTCATAAACCTGCTGTGTCCAATTGCTTGGAAAAATACAACTGATCAACATAACATTCCAACCACGTGGATCTCTCATGAGAAGCACATGGACTAAAACCACTTTGCTTGTTTACTTTTCACTTTGCCATGCTACTGAACTTCATCTGAATGCTATATTGAACCAAGCTACATTTATAATTAAACAAAAGTCTAATGCTCCCCTCTGGCTTAAATAAAAAAAAAAAAAGTGGTTGGATAAGGCACTGCTGAAGGACATGTGCCGGACCATGCCTTCAGCAGATTCCCCCCAAAAGACAATTTAAAAAGAAACTACAGCCCCAGCTGCTGTTAGCTAGATTGCCCCACTGAGGGGCCACACCTCCCTCTTCATCTGTGTTCTTAATTTTTTTAAAATAAATAAATAAAAATAACGAAATAATAAAGAATTAGCCCCCAGTCAAGGAAGGGTGCATTCTGTGCTTCAGTAAGCTGCGGTTTGGCTGATCCCATAACTAGTACTAAAGAAGGATTCTCAGACTAGGTAACGTTTTCAGATGTGTCACTGTTAAAAGCTAAACCCATTTCCAGGTGCTTTTCGCTTCCCTCTCTTCTTTGGCTGAGGGTCAGTGATGAGAGTGTTAAAGTAAATACGGGCTCCTGCTTTCACTGTAATACCTTTTTCTCCTGCCGTTAGGTCATAGTGATGCCAAGAGTTCTGATGGCACAATAACACACTGTAATGCCATAGTAATTACAACTACCTAACAGGTGGAATAGCTGATCTACAAGGGGGCGCAACTGTATTCAGATTGGAACCTTGAACAACAGCAGGTTAATACACAAGTGTACTGGAAAATAACGCTGTTACTCTAGTTTGTCACATTGTGGAACTCTCCGTTTGAGTAAGAAGGAAACACCCAGTTGTTTGCAAAAACACGTTTCATTGTGATCAAGGTGCGGTCAGCATTGCTTTTAACTTTCACCAAAACCCAAACTCAGTTGCTTTCCCCACATTATACCCACATGTTAATGCCGATGAGAGTTACCACATACATCAGAGGGAAATGGATTGCTACACTGGATCATGGGGGGAAAAGTTAGTTTCTGGATAAAAAGTGAAGGTTAAAAGCAGCACGGCCTTGCAGGGTCAGGTGTGGGGCCAGTGGCAGGCAGGAGGTACTAGATATAGACCCACGTTCAGGGATATTCAGATCCAGGTTTATGGTTGGGGTCCATCTCTCAGAAACATTGATGGAAAAAAGAACAGGAGTGCTTCTGGCACCTTAGAGACTAACAAATTTATTAGAGCATAAGCTTTCGTGGGCTTCAGCCCACTTCATCGGATGCACAGAATGGAACATATAGTAAGAAGATACTGTATATATACACATACAGAGAAGGTGGAAGTTGCCATACAAACTGTAAGAGGCTAATTAATTAAGATGAGCTATTATCAGCAGGAGAAAAAAACTTTTGTAGCGATAATCAAGATGGCCCATTTCGAAAGTTGACAAGAAGGTGTGAGGATACTTAACATGGGGAAATAGATTCAATATGTGTAATGACCCAGCTACTCCCAGTCTCTATTCAAACCCAAGTTAATGGTATCTAGTCTGCATATTAATTCAAGCTCAGCAGTTTCTCATTGGAGTCTGTTTCTGAAGCTTTTCTGTTGCAAAATTGCCACCCTTAAGTCTTTTACTGAGTGGCCAGAGAGGTTGAAGTGTTCTCCTACCGGTTTTTGAATGTTATGATTCCTGATGTCAGATTTGTGTCCATTTATTCTTTTGCGTAGAGACTGTCAGGTTCGGCCAATGTACATGGCAGAGGGGCATTGCTGGCACAATGAACGAGCCCCTCATGGTGTGGCTAATGTGATTAGTGAAAGCAGGAGCCCGTATTTACTTTAACACTCTCATCACTGACCCTCAGCCAAAGAAGAGAGTGATTAGGTCCTATGATGGTGTCACTTGAATAAATATGTGGACAGAGTTTGCATTGGGCTTTTTTGCAAGGATAGGTTCCTGGGTTAGTGTTTTTGTTGTGTGGTGTGTGGTTGATGGAGAGTATTTGCTTCAGGTTGGGGGGCTGTCTGTAAGTGAGGACTGGTCTGTTTCCCAAGATCTGTGAGAGTGAGGGATCATTTTTCAGGGTAGGTTGTAGATCTTTGATGATGCGCTGGAGAGGTTTTAGTTGGGGGCTGAAGGTGACGGCTAGTGGCGTTCTGTTATTTTCTTTGTTGGGCCTGTCCTGTAGTAGGTGACTTCTGGGTACTTTTCTGGCTCTGTCAATCTGTTTTTTCACTTCAGCAGGTGGGTATTGTAGTTTTAAGAATGCTTGATAGAGATCTTGTAGGTGTTTGTCTCTGTCTGAGGGATTGGAGCAAATGCAGTTGTATCTTAGAGCTTGGCTGTAGACAATGGATCGTGTGGTGTGGTCTGGATGAAAGCTGGAGGCATGTAGGTAAGTATAGCGGTCAGTAGGTTTCCGGTATAGGGTGGTGTTTATGTGATCATCGCTTATTAGCACAGTAGAGTCCAGGAAATGGACCGCTTGTGTGGATTGGTCTAGGCTGAAGTTGATGGTGGGATGGAAGTTTTTTTCTCCTGCTGATAACAGCTCATCTTAATTAATGAGCCTCTTACAGTTTGTATAGCAACTTCCACCTTCTCTGTATGTGTGTGTATCTATATCTATATATATCTTCTTACTATATATTCCATTCTATGCATCCGATGAAGTGGGCTGTAGCCCATGAAAGCTTATGCTCTAATAAATTTGTTAGTCTCCAAGGTGCCACAAGTACTCCTGTTCTTTTTTCAGATGCAGACTAACACGGCTGCTACTCTGAAAATTGACAGAAAAGACACTTTCTAGACTCCTCAGTGACCCTTCAGTGCATCTGCCAAAGTTTAAATATTTCAAAGAAGTAAGAATAGTGGGGGAAAACATCCCCTTCTATTTTTCTTTAAAACTTTTGACTTTGTATTTTTCTGCTCCAGAGTATTTTTCTTACATCATGGAAGAACATATTCCAGTAAAACACAGAATGGTTTTTATTAAAGTTTTACTTTAAAATGACTGAGAAGCTATCTCGCTATCACTAAGCATTTGGGGACCAAGGCAGTGTAATGCAATTTCATTCCCCCACTTCTAGGGTAGCACCTGCTTTGATTTGTACCTCTCACTGCTCCTAAGCGTGCTGCTCTCTTGCTGTAAAGCTCACCTTGTCTTGTGTTTCCTTGTCAGTACTTCAGTATGCACAAAGCACATTCAGCGACTGACCATTTGCATAGCCCAGTGTTTCCCGAGGGACGTACCGGCCGCTGCTTCCCACAGCCCCCATTGGCCTGGAGCGGCAAACCGCGGCCAGTGGGAGCCGCGATCGGCCGAACCTGCAAACACAGCAGGTAAACAAACCGGCCTGGCCCGCCAGGGGCTTTTCCTGAACAAGCGGTGTCCCAAGTTTGGGAAACACTGGCATAGCCCAATAGACACAGGCCTACCTCCTCAAAATAAAGGGAATGCTTTTGGGCAGGAAGGCAAACCTCTTTGTAGGTGTGGTACTTCGGATCCGTGCCAGCCTCCACAGAGGTGTGCTCTGTACCACTGAGCACAGGCAGGCTCCCTGAATCCTGTCTCTCATGCAGCAAAACTGCATCCAGGATAAAGCTGGTTGAAGATTTCCCTCTTTCTAACCTGTTTATCAACAGAAAACTGGTTTTTCAACAAAATTAAAATTTTCACTAGATGCGTGCTTTCTGCAGAAAATATTGAGCTTTTGTCTATATCTTTCTGGCCAAAATTGGCATTTTTCAGCCAATTTTTTTTTTTTTGGACAAAAAGTCAACCTTTTCTGCAGAAGGCAGAAACACCCCATTTTCCAGTCAGCTCTAATCCATGACACTTGGTGCCTGCAGACTGGGGTGTGTGATTTGCCTCCGAGTCAATAAATGCACAGGTAAACCCTGTCATTCTCACTAGCAAAACTGAACAAACATTCATCGCAGAGTCACAAATGTGTTTTGCTCTGATGAAGCAGCAAGAACTGCAAACACTTCAGCTATCTTGAGGTAGGAGAAAATGATGTTTCCATCAACTAAGCTGCCCTCTACTAGCGGTACAGTGAGAATCAGGTAGTCATCGCTTTCAACCTTCCTATGGGCCCAAATGCGTGACAATAATACAAAATGCATGAAACATATGACAGAAGCTTGAAAGGACATCAGAGTCATTTCTTTGACATAAACAACATTTTTTCTAATCCCAGTTTGGTAATTCAGCATTTTTTGGATGTCAATAATTTACAGTAACATAGTGTGATATCAGCAGGTATGAGGAGGAGGAATGTGGGTTTGGATCCAGCATGAAGGAAAATCCTTCATAAAGCTCCTGATTCTGAGGTCCTTGCTCACAAGAGTGGTCCCAGTAAAACCAGTGGGATCTCTTGCATAAGTAAAGACTTCAAGACTGAACCCAATGAGATAACTGAAGGGTGCTGCACTTTCTTGATTTGAACTGCCTGTGCACATCTTGAAATAAGGATTTTAAGCAAACTAATAAAGTTAAATACATTATAAAACATACACTTATCTGATCCTGAGATTGTCCCCATAAGAAATACTAAAGAAAATAAGCTTCCTGAATACAGGTCTTCACATCACTGAAGTGTATTAAGTGGCTGTTTTACAAGGCAGAGTTGCTCGCCTAACAATGCTCCTTCCCTCATAATTACCTGAGTGCCCGACTAAGACTGTGTTTCCTAATTACCTCTTTTGCTAGGATGAGGCTAACAAAACGCTCAGGTCGATCACCGTTATCAGGAATTTTGTTTGCATTTCTTCTTTTGCAGTTCAGACAAAAACATGCTTGATATTTTGCCAACCTTTCCAAGGCTTGTAGAAACAGGCTCACGCACAGCTTCCTTTTTTTTATTTTTTGGCCAGCGAAGAATTGTGTGTCAGCAGCTTCCTGTCAGAGGAGCTGCCGTGTTGTGCTGAAGAAAGTCCTCACACCAGAGCGAAAACATCGGGAGCAATTGGATGGAAACGGTGATGACATGAACCGCAACAGAAAGAAGAAATTCAATATGATGAACGTCAGTCGGGGTGCTGACTACCACGCATTCCAGTTCCATCAGTGCAAAGACCTATTTATAGTCTCTAACAGTGTCACTCAAAGTCAGACATTATATCTGGGGGAAAAATATTCTCCAAAACTCTGTTTGCTTAAGCACTCTCTCTCTCTCTCTCTATATATATATATTAAAAAGTTCTGCTTTTTATTATTTCAGTATTTTAGCCCTTGGTCGATTAGTCACCAACACCTGTCCGATACCAGAAGCTATAAGCAGCCTTAGCACCTGCATATTTGTAGAATATCAAAAAACAGCCTTAGCAACAAGGAGTTACATAATACAGGGAGAAGGCGGGGTTAAATAGATAAATGCAACATGTAGTGGCATTTGTTACCATTAAATGTGTGGCTCCCGCAATCAGGCCATAAAACTGTACCATGTAACTTGCTTGCAAGGGGTGGCAAAGAAGATTAATGTGTTACTTTAATAATCCTATAAACCACTCATTCAACATACTATTTCCAGCTGAACTTGAAGGTTTTCCCTTAAAAATGTGATTCCTGTAGAGACCACCAGGTTCTTACACTCTGTCTGCCTTTGAACTCTGCTGTTACAGCTGTTTGGTTAACAATGTTGTTCCAGTGCAAAAAACCAAACCCCAATCCTTCCTCCTTTAAACTTTAGATTGCCTCACATCTGTCCATTCCTGTTTAGTGTTCTGTAGGGCTTGAGTCTTCTGTTCATCTACCTGGACATAGTCTACTCTCTGCTCTTCCGAGAGAAAAGGTTTCTGTAGGACAGAGGAAGAACAATTGTCTTATATTAGAGAGAACATGGATGCTAGTAAAACTGGTTTTGTTTTCTATTCCTCCTTTTCTTTCTTTCCTGGTTGTTTCATTTCACCTTGAAGTTACAGTGACATCAGCTGACAAGAGCATTGCTTTGCAGTTTGCTTTACATAGAATAATCCATCTGTCACCTTGTCACCCTGCCCAGCATAGTGAGATATGGAAACACACTGTATGGGCTAACTCCATCCCAGAGCAAGGATAATTATTCTCTTGCCTTTAGTAAGATCCTGCTACATTGATGACCTGCATGGATTTTAACCATAAGAGAGTTTAAATTAAAGGAGGCCTAGAAACCTCAAGTCAATCCCCCCAAAGGAATATTAACAAAACTGATGGTTAAAATGATGTAAAACAAAAACTCAGCAAACTATCAAGTCTATACACTTTATAGTAAATTTATTTGCTTTTCATTGTATTCTTTCTTTGTCCATCATTGTCTATTTAAATTGTAAGTTCTTTGGAGCAGGGATCTTATCTTCGGACTGTGTCTAAAGAATCTAAGACACTTCTGTAATGACATAGATAATATTAATAAATATTTTTGCCTTGTTACAAGATCTCATATCATGTCTTCCTGTGACCCTGCTCATACTCACGTCACAGAAAGTTACTTTGTCATACTCACATCACAGAAAGTTACTGCAGATGGGATTTGTGGGAAAATTGGCAGGAAAGTTTTGTGGGAAACTGTCTCTTTTGAGAATGAAAAAAGAGCTTGCAGAATTCCTGCAAGCACCTACAAATTTGCCCACATGTTCTTACTCCTGTACATTCCAGTGGAGCCATTATGCCTAATGTGAATGGAATCACATTAAGGCATGATACTGGTACCACTGTCATAACTTTAATTGTGGTTTTATCACGTTACCAGTATGTTCATGTTGAGCCTGTTATGAATGCAATCAGCTGGAAAAGCATGATGGATTTCATTGTATTGAGGATACTCAGAAGTGAGAATCTCTGTCTGTTGGCCTCCATCAGAGAGACACACCAGGATGTACAAAAAAGGGTGGTATTTGCATAAATGATTCTTACCTTCTGTACAGGGGATGGGGAAGCGGAATTAAAATCCAGTGCTAAGTAATCAAGGTTGGACTTCCTTGACCATGGGAAAGCACCACTGCATGGAGATGTTGCCTGGCTGTGCTCCTGTTGTGGAATGAGAGAAACTTTTAATGAGTAATTCAAAACCCTTAAATCATGATCCTAAAAGGAAAAAGACCAGACTGTTTAGTATTATTCCTAATCCAGCAGTAAGCAAAGAAAGAGAGCTCTGGCCCACATCATTTGTATAGTATGTCAGGGGATGCATGCATCAACTAATTGCAAGATCCTAACAATGTCTAATTATGTGACTGTTCAAAGAAATTCAGGAACTCTGATTTGGGGTAATTACAGTAATATGGGCAAAATGGGGCGGGGGTGATTTTCATTCAGGTTTAGCAAAACATCAGTAAGGATTTTGTTTTGCAAAACCAAAACCTGGGATGTTTTAACATCTGGATCCCATTTCATCTAAGCCATCAAAGTTCTGGGGGTATGGATAAATGGTTCTGGTTCATCTCTCGCAATTGAATATCAAAATGGAGAGTCACAGACGATCACAAACATGTTAAAGGTTTTAGCTTTTTGAACAATACAATTGGAGTGTGATTAGGACTAGAGCTGAGCTGAGTAGCTATTGTGTAGGTTCAGATCAGCTTCAGGTTTAGTCTGGAGCGAGGGGGTAAGATTTCTGTTTGGAGCGGCCAACCATGTAAACTCTTTGTGCAATCATTCCCAAACTGGAAGTGGAAAGCTGGCCCCTTCGGGCTTTGGATTTGGAACCAAATCTGCCAGAGCTGGCTCAGATCTAGGCATCCTAGATCAATCTCCATCTGAAATTCGAAGGGGATTAGGTTCTGGCCTATTTCTAGACATGGCCAAAGAATGAATGAAGAAAAGGAAGCCACAATGCTTTTGTTTTATGTAATGGGAAGTAGGGTTAATGCAACTAAGACTTTAATAGGAGTTCTCGTTCTATACAACATTGTGTGTGTTCCTTTAGGAAGTGCACTGAAGATTGTCTGTCATTTCCCAGGAGATTCTGCAGGGGGCCCTTGTAAAAGGTGAAAGGACTTAGTTGTCCTTTGCCTTTAATGAGCTCTCATGTAAGTATGCCTGATCCCAGTGATCTCTTGCAACTGCTTGGCAACATTTGTGGGGGAACAGCTGAGAACTGCACAGCAGAAAAAAGGCTTCCCTTATCTCTCTGTAAATCAGACCCAGTGTCTTTAGTTTAAAACCATTTGATTTTTTTTAAAAAGAGGGCAAAGGACAAACCTGCTGAACATTTTTCTTAGAAAATGAACTTGGGAATTCTCAGGGCATGTGACAGAGCAGAACAGAGCAAAGGATAGCTGTGTGAAAATGAAGATTACCATTTGAATGTAACTTTCTTCCTCTTCTCCGGAAACGGAATTGGCAAATATTCTTGCTGAATTAATACCGTCTCTATCTGGAGAGATAAAGCTCGTTCGATTGCTAGGAACAAAAACACAGGAGAGGTTAGGGAAGCAAATAACAGATGCTCTGAAAAGACGCCAAAGTCTGACATGGCCCATATGGCGAATAAACTCACCCTAATTCTGAAGCCTTAATGGAGTGGCCATCCAAAAATGGTTTTTAGCTATAAAGCATGTTACAGTTACATCAGTAACATCTCTGGTGGATTTTCTGGGATTTATCTTGACACTATAAAAGTTTGCCAGCTATGGCATGACAGAAAGCAGGAGATATCAGAGCAATTCTCCAGCAAGGAACGCAAATGAAGGCAGACATTAATCTGTGTAATATGTGCTGATGGAGCAGTTACTTTGTTGTATGGGTACCACCATTTCTGAGATTGAAATGAATTAATCAGCTACTGTAGCTGCCTGCAAAGCAACTTGGCTGGCTCTGAATGCAGTACAAACACATGTTATCTGTGCTTTGGAGTTGTCTGCAACTCAGTTCTTTTAAAAGAAAAATGTAGCTGCTAATCTAACTGTCAGAAGCAGTCCTTATAATGTAATTCAAACCTACTGCAAATCATCACTAAATTACTGCATCTTGGCCAGTACAACTAGTTAACCAGAGATTAGCTGTGTACTTCACACAGCATAAACAATTTAATCCAAACAGGTATCCCTTTGGGTTTCACTTTATTTGTTCTGAGCACATTTGGTCATTTAAACTTGTTTGGTTTGTTTAGTATCAAAAAACTTGTTATTTAGTTGACAATGAATGAACTCCTCAATGCTCCTCTTCCCTGGAGACCTTGTATAGCAGTTGAATGTGTCAGAGTTCATTAACCATGGCACGCTAGCAGGGATGTTCATGCGGCAGCACTGAATTTGTGGGATTGTCGAATATGCCAAGTACAAAGCACCTCAGGGGTTAGCCAGATTTTAACTGCTAACCTGGAAGCCTGGGGAAGATTCTGATTGCTGGCACCACATTACCTGGCCCTGACAGACTGTGTCAGCTTCTCCCAGATAGCAAGCCCTTCCTCTGAGTACCTGCCATGTTAGCGAAAAAGGCAGTGTTTGGCATGCCACTGTTAAAGTGCCAGGCACTAAAAGGATCCACACAGGAAGGCTTGTGAGAATCCTCTGCTCACTCAGGTATTTTCAAGGGGAAACTGGCAAATCCCTTCAAACTTTCCCCATCAGCTCTGAGAACTTACTGTCACCATTCCCCATGCCAGTATGCTTCATCCCACATCACTGCTTTGATCCTACCAGCTAAGAATTCCTGGCTGTGACTCGCTTTGAGGCCCACTGATATTTCGTCATCATTTGGGGAGAGTGATCCGAGGCATTTCCTCCACCCCACAACTGGTTTGCAGTGACATTAAATGAGGAGCAGGAATCAAGTCTCCATTTTGTCATGGCAGCACAAAACGTTAGCCCCAGATCATCAGGCCAGCCAGGCCTTTAAATTGGGTTTGTTTTCCCTTTGCCACATTAATCTTCTAGAAAAAAGATGTCTGCTCTCCTCTGGAAAAATATGAGAAGTCATGAGGGCTAACATTATGGCAGCTGTACCAGAGAACAGAGTAGCTCCAGCCTTCTAAAAAGTTACATAAGGAGGCTTCACAAGAGACAATTTAGGCTTTGAGGTAGTGCTAATTTGCAAGAGATTCAAACCACAGAATTTCTCACAGCACAGTCTGAAGGGAGTGCACTGTGTCTGTCTTTAAAAGGAGCCCTTTTTTTATGGCAGCAAAAGCCTGTAAAATGCTGGAAGGAGTCCCATGGAATTTGCATAGCATGTTTGTTTATAGACTTTGCCAACAAACTATTTCTTGCGGAATGTGATAAGTTATTTATAACTCCATTTCACAATGCTTATGCTTCAGGAGGTTTCAATGTCAGGATTCTCATCCACTTACTAAGGCACAGTCCACATCCTGGTCAAGGTAGCGTGTTCCCGGATGGTGGAGAGGTTTCTCAGATCCAGCGGAGGGGGTCGTGCTGCAGATGGGTACAACAGGAATTTTAAAAGCAGGATTTATTAATGGCTCTAATAACATAAATAAATGGGAGACACCTCCCTCAACTCTGGGGGGGCCAGAAGCCAGGTGGTGACCCTCCTCCCCTCAATGTGGCCTTGGTGAAAAAACTGCAGAGAGGAACCAGCCAGAAACTCCAGCTGGTAGGGGCCAAAGCAGCCAAAGCAGGAACCTTCAGATGCTCAGAGAACTTTCCACATTTATGACTGGACCTACTCTGCCTTGTGCTGAATGGTGGTTTGCTCCAGCTCCCTCAGTCTCTTCACCTCAGCTTCACTCCAGACCTGCCCTTCTTACCCTCTTCTGCCCTGTCCCGTTCCCTTCATCTCCCTTCCTTTCCTATTTAGCTGGTCGCCTCCTAACTAAACTCTCCATTCCACCCGCCAAAAAGTCCTGGAACTAACATGCCGTTTGCTGCCATCACATTGTTCACTTTGCTTGTGTGCTCTACCCCTTCACCGCCTTACATCTGTGTTGTGTGTTTAGACAGTAAGCTCTTCAAGCAGTGACAGTCTACTCCTGTGTTTGTACAGTGCTTAGCACAATGAGGCCCTATTCTTGACTGGCACCTAGGCACTATCGTAACAAACGAGGTTATACAGCCTAGCATTTGTGCGAGATTATACGCAGGAAATCTTGAGGAATAAATGGACCGTTTAAATCTGCCCTAGAAACTAAAGTCCTCTGTGGATCCTAAAACGAGCAGCTAAATACGATGGGCAGCTAGAGAGCAGGCTTTCCAGAATGACCGTGAACACGCCTGAACCCTGGTCTGCAAGTGATGCCTCCACAGGGGAGGGGCTACTTCAGTCTCCAGGTCCAGCCAGCCCTTGGCCTGTCTTCTGAGATGGTTGCTGCCCATTGGGGTGCCAAGTGTGATGGTGCTTTGTGTGACGTGAACATCTCTCCATGGGGAAATGGATTGCGGCCTTCAACTCATTTCATCTAGGTCACTGAGCAACTCCCAGGCAGTAACAAATTTCTATCAACAGCAGCCTGGGCTGCATTTGAACCAGCAACCAGAAGTTAAAGTCATAGCTTTACCTTTCCCCTGAGCCATCCTCTCCCATTTCACCAGGTTTCTCTACATTTTGTACGTGGTAACAAAATCTAACACTTTTTCTATGATAATGCCAAGTATTTCACAACACTCCCGCACACTGAGGGAGAGATGGAAGAGTTCCCCATTGGAATTTAGTTTATCCATGGGTGCTATCTCAGGAAGGAGTATAAAATACTTCAGTACACTCCAGAACATCACACAAATCCTGTGGTGTTCCAACAAGGAGGCATAAGACTCGAGTGTGTGCATATTAAGCATCTTAATGCAGCTGCGTGAAATAAAAATATCACATATTTTGGAACCCTGTGGCATAGGCTGAGGAAGGCTGTGGGAACAGAAATGGATTTTTCCTCTTCTCTTGTCTACTTAATGGGCCAAATCCTGCTCATCCTATCATGAAAGCAGGCCCATAAGAATACTTGTGTGAGTAAGGCAAGCAGGATTTTGCCCAATACATAAACCACTTGTAGTCTAAGGAGCTCAGTGCCCCCAAACTCCCCTCTGGTTCTGATAGGGGATGTAAGCTTGCACTTGCTAATCCCAGGTTGAGGGTATGTGGAAATGGAAAGTGCCACTTCCACAGTATGCTCCTCACCCCCCACCCAGTGGAAGCCCCTCTCTATGGGTTCTCTGTTGGGGTTCCGCTCCATTTGTGGGAAGAGGGAGTGAGCCTGTTGGTCTCCACCAGATTCTCCACCTTCCTCCCCAGCCCACATGGCAAAGGAGTGTAACCTGCAGTGCTTTCCCATCAGTGCTGTAGAATTCTCTCCTCAGCCAAGGGTCATTCCAGGGGCAGCTTAGTTCCTCCAGGAGCCCCAGGGAGCTAGAAGGTCCATGGGGCTGTGCAGAGACAGAGGGCTTCTGCAAAGATGGATCTTGTCTCCAGGTGGATCCTCCAGATGTGTATGAATCACAGAGGATTTGGACGTGGCATGGGGAAAAAATTCTCCCTTTCACCAAACCACTGGAAGGAAATTACTCCTATCCACCTCCCCACCTCACCCCGGGGAACTGTGGTCAGGATCCGGAGCTGGGAGTGGGGCCATGGGGGGCCAGGTCCAGGGCTGTGGTTGGGACTGGGGCTGGAGCTGTGGGTGGGCCAGGAGCCAGGGGCTGAGGCCAGGTCCAGGAGCAGAGCTGCGGCCAACCTGGGAGCCAGGAGCCAAGGCCGAGGCCACAGCTGGGGGTGGGGCTGGACCTGGAGCAGAGTTGGGGACAGAGTGAGTCCTGCCGTGTCCCCCTCCCTCCCCCAAAGTGGGGGCGTGCTCCATAGTTTGGGGGCCACTGGTTTAAAGCATATCATTCAGGATGCCCTAAATTTAACACAGCCAATACATAGCAGGTTATTGCACTAAGATCTTTCTCCTAGGATCTTCAGCATCCCAGCAGAGTGGATACCACCTTGGTTCTTTTAAATTCCATGGCACTTTTAATGATATAAGAGGTTTGCCCAAGTGATCTTGGCCAAAAAAGTTTTCCCCTCAAGGCCATTGTCTACCACCTTCCACTCTAGAGCTGGCTGCATCTGTAATGTGTGAAGTGCCTTGTGATGCCCTGGGATGCCACGTACCATAGAAATGGAAGTTAGTGGTCAGTGATAGCAATGTACCTTAGCTTTGAATTGCTTACTAGGTTGGTATAATGCCTTACATTTCCTACGGGGCTTGAGATCTCGATTCACTGGAGGTGGTTCCAGGTCTGTGGGAAGTTCCGGCAGTGGACTGGAGAGTTTGTCATTGTTGACTACAGGAAAGGTAAAGGTCGCTGAGCTTGGGCTCATGGGAGTGTAGCCATCGGGTGAGCAATCTGATCCTGGGATGGGCGGAGAGGTGCTGGGGTGCATAGGTACATAACTGTCCTCCGTATTGTCCGATGCTGAAGAGTAGAGTGGGGTGAATCGACATGGCTTCCGAAAGGAGAAGGAAAAGAAAGAGCATTCCAGTCAGCTGAACAACTCCAATAATCAAGCAAGGTTGCACACTGCTACAAATTAGCCTGAACTAAACCGCACGCTTGAACACCCCCATCTGAACTTTTGGGGTGGCCTATCTCTGGAATGGCAGGAGTCAAAACTACCAAGACAGACATCCATGCCAACTCTGGAAAAGTTCAGATCTGAACTTGGCAGCTCAGGCCCATGATTGCTGCAAACATGGGCATAAATGAATTGTTGGCATAAGCAGGTTCAAATCTACTGACTTCCAAGGAAGAGCACTTGCCTACACCAGCAGCAAATCGGAGCCACAAAATGACAGGAGGCTTATAATGTAAGGAGCACTTTCACGTGTCCATCATCTAACGGATAACATCTGGTGAGTTATTCCTTCGCAAAGGCGAAAGCTCTCAGCACAGAGACACATGCACAGGGATTACATTTGATAGCTGAGGATTAACCCTGGCGATTCATGTCATGCAGGTTAATGCTGGTTGCATATCAAGAGGCATTGACTACAAATTGGGTAAGATCAATTTCACATGTGAGAAAAACATGGCGTCTGTCAAAGACAACGGAGCCTGCATCTGGCCTAGCAGCCTAAAGGCAGCAGAGGGCCTTCCCATTTGGGAAAAATCCAGTTCTGGTTCTCAGGCTCCCCGGACTGGTGAGGCAGAGGCAGCATGCTCAGCCCTTGGAGGCAGGGAACACCTGGCGGGAACGTCACTGCCTAATGTGTTTTCACAGCAACACTGACCAGCATCAGCTAATTCTCTGCAGTCAAAAACTGGATCACCACATTACAGGGGATTTTGAGGGTCGGGACAGTTAACAAGCCCCAAAAAGGAGGTAACCCGCATGACTCCAAAGTGATACAGAAACTTTCAACGCATGGGCTCCATTCTCGGTTGTGACCTATCCCCTTAACCCTAGGAAACACCCCTTCATGCGAGGGCCTCTGTGAAGAGCTGACCTACATGTTCTGCTCTGCTCTGTCTCCAGGCCTGCAGCATAGGGGATGTATGATCGGAGAGAAGAGGTATTGTAGGAGTGTCAGGAGGGGGACTGCCCAGCGTGCTAAACGGGACCCCGTAAGGGGCTATGAAAAACCTTAGTACCAGGGCACCTGTGAGGCTTCTCTAATTTATAGCAGGGGCTGGACAAGCCTCCACATACTCCAGATGTAGGAGGTGCAAATGTGATATAAAGCCACCTGTGCCCTCCTCTTCCATTCCTGTGCTGAGCATAGGAGAGGAGTAACAGAGCATCAGGTCACAAGACAACTAACGTGCTTTAGTCTGTTTTGTGCCAGTGTTTAAATATATGCAAATAGAGTACTTACCAAATTCAAACTAAGCCTCTTATCTCGACTTCTGAGAGAGCTTCCTTCCATGTTGGCTGAAAAAAAAATACCCTCCAGTGATTAACAATGTAATTAGCAAAAGGGAATGGAAGCTGAAGGATATAATTCTGGAGCAAGGCATACGGCATTAAAATAATTATGACTTTCTAAAGCTCATGAAATATTTTGCTAGTCTTCGTGAAATGGGAAAACTTGACAAAATACGAGATAAAAAATAACTCTCTATAATTCTATGAGTGGGCAACTTATAATGCTATATTAGTTTTAAGCACATTGAAAAGAAGAAACAGTCAGCACACACCTATAAACCTATTCTGAGTTTTCTCTAATCACATCTAGATAAAGAGTAAGATCCTTGTCTATGAGAAAAGAAGTCAGGAGATTTGAGATTTAATTCCTGTTCTGTCAGCAACTTGTTGTATAACCTTTGGACTTTTCTATATCTCAACTTCCCCATCTGTAAAATGGGGACAATTATACCACAAAGGGGTGCTGGGAAGCTTAATTCATTATTGCTTGTAAAGTGCTCTGAGATCCTCAGACCTAAGGCACTAGGGAAGTGCAAATTATTTATAGATGGAATTCATGATAGTATGCACTATGAGAGGAGAAGTATGTGTTAATGATGAACGATCATAGCACAGAAGTGGTTTAGAATAAATCCACCTCCCCAACAAGTGAAAAGGTCTCTGTCACAATGCCTGCTAGTGCAAATTTGGCTTATGACACTTATTGTGTTTTCTTTTTGGTTCTTAATATGTTTTCTTTTCAAAACAGAGGTAAAAGAGGTTGTAAAATGTGTTTAGTGTTGATCAGCAGCTGGACAGAACTCGTGTGATTGTTTCCAGTGCATGGTGGACAGAGGTAGTGCGTCTGTGGAGCAGCAGCAGGACTGGGTGGCAGATTCTGTTAGCTTGGTAAGATTTTGCTCTAAATCTATGGCTGTATATTGCCATTTGCTTTTGGGGAGTTTGTTGACAGAAAAAAAAGGTAACTCGGGAGAGTGGGAGGGCAAATGGCTGCCTCTTTCCACTCAAACCCTTATTTTTCTCCCTATGCTTAAACTGTCCATCCATTTCCCTTTATAGAAAATATCTATAAATGGAGAAATGGGCCATTTCCCCACTGAGATTCTGTAGAGCTTTTCTCTGGAATACCATAAAAAAATTCAATGAGGGTAAATAGTATATAATGGAGTATGATACAATCTGCCTGATGTAGAGTTCTATCCTGTAGTGGAAGTGGGGTTTTTTTGTTTTTGTTTTTTGTAGTGATAACAGTGTAATAGACAATATAAAGATGACAAGACTGAAAGAAACTATCATTGGTACCCAAAATAAACAGCTTTCTAGACAGCTGTTATTAGCTACTTGTACTTTCTCAGTTACACACAGATTTTGTACTTCTGTAAGCGTGTTGATCAGGGGAGTGATTTTTTACCAAAATAGTTACACTGCTACAAGCTATAGTGTGCATACCATTTTAGCACTATAAAAGTGCCTTAGACCTGCATAGATTAGTCCCCTGCCCATAAGCTACACCGATATAAAGCATCTTTATACCTGTACAACTGAGTTCACACTGGGGGGTTGTACTGCTTTACCTATATATTGGGATAGTTAAAGCAGTACGACTTGTATGTGTAGATAAAGCCTATGTACAGACAACTCACCAGGGGTGTGCTCACCTCATCATCTCAACTGGTGAGAAGCTGCTGGGCCATTTGTATGTCTATTGCATGTCTCAATTTTGATTCACACTTTTTATATTTTAAAGTCAGAAACAGCTTCAGCTGCAGTTGGGGTAAAAAAATAAGAAGCAATGCTTATTAATTCATTGCTGCCCCCTGTCAGGCAGAGATAACCTTGCAGCACGTTCACAGAATATGACATTTTGGCACTTAATCCTCTGAAATGCACTTCAGTGTCAATTAGAACGGAGAAATATTACCTATCTCCAGCCAGATTGTGTGTGTGTGTGTGTGAGACACGCACACCCCCCCCATAAGTACCAAGAACATTTCACAGGCAGCTTTCAGTCATAACTGATTATTAAGAATACTATTTCCAGCTATGGGTGTTTCTTCTAAAAGCTTCCAAGAATTGCTTGAACACTGATAAACAGGGTGGGCAAAACTCTCCACGCTTTGGCTTTTATAAGAGCTAAACACCCTGGCTCTGCACAATGCACGAGTGACAGTTTAAACTGCAGAATAAAGGAAGCCAATCAATAATGCTGAATATAAATACCTGTTGTTGCCTCCACTTAGAAAGTTATGGCTCCTATACAATACATTTGAGTTTCCAACTAGATATTTTATCTGCTCATTCTGTTCTAAGACGCTGCAGAATACAACTGTATTTGTGTCACACTGTACCATGGCTCACACTTTCTTTCTTGGTTTTTTTCCTTTTCTTTTTAAACAATGTCTCAAGAGCGGGTGAAATTGTCCCGCTCAGCTCCAGTGTAGCATAGCATCCTGCTTTATCCCCAGTTTTCCAGGTAGGCTTTATTGAGATGCAGGGACATCAACTGATTCGCTTAATATCACACTGGGCGTCACTGGTTCATCTGGGATTATGTCCCATTGCCAGCTTCTTCCTGTCTTCCAGTCCTTTGCTCTCTACGTGCTAAGAAACATCCTTCTTCCATGGAGTGTACTACCTGCCGCAGCAGCAGAGGTATTGCACTTAAAGGGGCACTTAACTCGAGAAAGCCTGAATTTTGACTCATCTAAGGATGAAAAAAATTCCAAGAGCCACATTAAGTGGAAGTTTGAGCTTGGAATTGATTGACATGTAGGCCTAGTTTGGGGGTGTGTGTGTGTGTTAAAAATTAACAACAACACACAAAATCACAAATTGTCACATTCGGGGAGATCACAGCTGTCTGTTGACTGGTACTTACCCTGTTAATTCCACATACAGGAGCAGGTGCTGCTGTATGTAGCTGAGGGATACCACTTCTGATCCCATGTTGCCATGGTACTTGGCATTTATAAATCACCTGTCAGTAACTGACTGAGCTGCACAGTGGCCCTAGAAGTTGGGGATACTAAGGCACAGAAGGGCCCGAGTTTCAAAAGTTCTCAGTTCCTATTTAGGTACTTGAATGCAATGGCAAGATTTTCAAAAGTGCTTAGCACCCAGGTCTCAAGGAGAGCTGAAAACCTGGCCACTGCATTCAAGGTGACCCAGGGTGACTCAGGAGGTCACAGAACCAGGAGGAGAACACATAAATTTTGCCTCCCACTCCTTCACTCTCACTGGGCAGCACAACCTCTAACCACTGCCACTCGGATCCCACTTCATGCAGAGCAGGAGCCTGTGCACACTCACAAAGGCGTTAGCTTGGCTTTAGGCACAAGAAACTCTTTAGAGGTGATCACACTGTCACGGCACAGTAGCTCAGGAGGGGAAGAGAAGAGTTACCTTTCCAGTGCCGCACGTTATCCAAACTGGACAAGGAGATTCTTCTTGGCACCAAGGCAATCTGAGCCCCGCAGATCCCACCGTGTCCATTCTGAAGAGCCCCGTTGGATGGCTCCTCCCCGCTCCGGTCTGAGAAATGGGTTGGTTTGGGTGGCCGGGGTGGTGGCGTGTTAGACAAAATATCCAGTTCAGTTACGCCATAGGGCAGTGCGGCTTGGCTTTTATCAATCTGAAAGGTTGGTGTTAAAGGAGGCCCTGAGAGCGGAGAGGAGGAGGAGACGTCACTGTACGGCCCGCTAACGTCTATGCTTCTGGGTAGAATCCCATGATTCGCTGGCTGGCCCCCATCCTGGTGCACCACGCCGTTGCCAGATGGCTGTACGTGAAGGGAGGGTTGAGACTGCAAGGCATCAACAAAAACGTCATCTGATGAGGCCTGCTCCAGGGATCTGTCGGAATTTGACCAGCTGTCACATCTGGATAGAAGACAAAGACCAAATTCTGTATCTTCGTTCTACCACTATTGCAAGTGAACTAGTATGTACTCCAGTGAGTTCACACTATATGAGAGGTATACATACATGCCCACTGGTCCACAATAACACAACCAACCCAAGGCTTCAACTGCTTCATACAATTTTCTTTTCTGTGTTTTTAAATTCAAAATCCAGTCTCACCAGATTTAAGACAGTTCTTGAGACCAGCCTCATGCTTTTCTATCCCACTTTTGAAACTGCATATTGATCATTTAATTTCATTCACCCATTGTAAGCACCCACCATGGGAGTGCTGTGTGTATTTGTCTTTACTAATTACTGCAGGAGCTGTTTTCCACAAAGGGTCCAATCCATCGAGTGGCAGATTCAGCCCAATTCTCTCTTTACAAAGGATGTGGTGCTGTACAGAGAGGGGGCATTGGACATAAGGGGGCCATGCAGCGGGCTCACACACTGTGTGGTGTAGAAACCTGGTCTGATTGAACTCAGCGTGTGGCAGCATGTTGGGGAAACCAGGGCGGAACCAGAAGATCCACTGCTGTGAGGAACCTCCCTTCCACCTTTATCAGGGTAGGGGAGATTACATGAGGCATTTTTTATAGTCTACCCCAGACATCTTCCTGGCACCTGGGCTGGGGTTCTGGGCTTTGGATGTATGCCAAAAGTCTTAAGTGATGTTATGTACATGCTCATCGAGGGGACAGTGTGCACCATGGGGGTACAGCTCAGAGTAACCTCTGTCATTCACTTTTTCTTCCTATTTATTAAATCCTTGTTCACCAGCCAGATAACAGTCTATAGTAGCAGCCATGATACCAAGTAGAGTCTGATCCTGTTTCCACTGAAGTTAATGGGAGTTTTGACCTTTCTGTCGAAGTGACTGGTAGCGTACATGAAAAGGGAAGACAACTCTTGGGTCACGTTGCTATTGGAGTTTCAACCTCAACATCGTAGCCAAAGAGGATCTACGCACCCAGACTATGGATAAATGGCCTCCACAGCATTATTTCAATAAGTCAAGCAGCATTTCTTGTTGCAGATGCTCCAACCCAAACTGTGGGAGGACTGAGAATATGGTCTTTGGCTAAGGCCTGTACCACCTTTCACAGCATAGCGGATGCTGATGGCAGAATGATGCTACCTGCCCAAAAGCTCATTATGGGCTAAATCCTGCCCTCTCCTCCGGGGGTATGGAGAGGCCCCCGCTGCCAGAGAACAGAGGAGGTTCCACTTGGAAGATATTGGGGGCAGGATGAGGGGACTCAGCACAGTGATAATTCTGCAGGGGCTCCTTGCACCCCAGCACACAGAGAGGGTTGGGAGCAGGCTGTGGGCAGCCAATGGATCCCCAGATACAGGGGTCCGCCAGGCTTTTAGCATGTGAAGGGGTAACATGCCAGACACCACGACTACTGCTGCTACTCTGAGGCCTGGGGTAGGAGGCTTTCTCCTCCACGGCCCCCAAGGAGAAGCACAGCCGTTAGTGCTTCCTGCAGAACTGGAGATTGGTATCTGTATTTGATGTATCTATACATAGGAATGATGTCACCCACCACTGAAGAGTAACCATTTCCAGGGAGACATGCAGCGAGTGTTTAACACCACATAGCAACAGTGCCCAGCAGTTAGGACCATGTCAATCACAGAGGCAAGTTAGGGGGAAGGAATGTTCTTACCTCACCTATAGTGTGTCCTGGACGCTGAGGTTAACAACCGAACTCTGGAAAAGTGCCCAGCCCTTAAAAGCCATTGACCGTCAGAACCCCAGTTTTAAATCCTGTGATCCTGAGAGATGGCACTTCTAGGATCATCTGGTCCTCTAGCTGCACCCGCCTGGGCCTTGCTTCAGTACAGGCTCAAGGGGGACAGCAAACCCTCAGTACCATTTCCTGAAGCCCAGCCCTTCCTAATGCCATGCTGGGGTGTTGGACCCAGAAGGGGCAGAACGAGCTGAGCTTTTCTTGGTTCTTTAAGATTTCATTCAACCATTTAGAGGAGGGGGACAAAGGGACTAAGGACAAGCGTATAGGGGGGACTGTCCATTTGCTGGGAATACAAACCCTGGAGCATATTTCTGGATGTGCAGCAGCCCCTGCATGCTGCTCTGAGGATGTAAAAGGGCTGTAACCAGCCCCCAGGGAATTTCTTTGGCACAAGAGGGCATGGGGGTGCAGAGCCAGTGCTAAAGCCCCACTCCTCACCCTCTTGCAGCTCACAAGGGGGATGTTGGGAGGAAAGGGTCATGGCTGGAATATGCTGCATATACTATCCAGCTAGTCTCACCTGCAGAAAGGCCCCTATAGAGCTGTGGTAGCCCAGTGCAAGTTAAATCAGCCTCAGGGCTGCTCTAACCTGTGCTTGGGGCTGCACAGGGCCATGGCAACATGAATACGGAAGGCACAAGGGTGGAATAAAGCCCCTTTGCCCCCATCTCTGCTTCCTGTGTCCAGCGCAGGAATGGAGGATGTGGCTCATTGGCAGAGGGACATATCAACTGTAAAATGGCTTTAGCGCACCGCATGCGGTTTACCTGATATGATTGAACTTGCCCGTCTCGCAGTTTGATAGGAAGAGGTAATCGGGGAGGAAGACTGACTCCGACTCACTCCTGGTCTCTTCGGAAGCAGAGGCGTCCGTGGTGGCACTGCCTACAGAGGAGGAGGGGTCTGCGACCCTTGAGGTATGGGTGGAGACGGCTGGCGAGGGCTGGAGGGATGAGGTGGTGTGAGACAGGCTCTCCACAGAATCTGCAATGTAATAGGATTGCACCTTGTGATGGGTTTGCACAGCCGTCCTCCCGCGAGAATGCTGTGCACCCACCCATTCCTTAAGAGCACTGGGCAGTCACAGATCACACCAGGTGTTGATACTGACTGGGAACGCTGCTTCCCTACCCCATAAACAGTATCTGGGGGAGGAGGCCAAGACATTAACTTATGCAACATTCTAGGACGTGCAGTATTTACCGAGTAAGAGACCTTAGGGTCCAAAAAATCAGCAGCCAAAACACTCTTCCCACAAACACTCTGCATGGACATTCACTAGAAAGAGTGAACAGGACTAGCGAGCAGGGGATTCCAGGCCAGGGCACAGACCCCAACATCTGTGCTGAAAGGCAGCCCTAAAACACATGCATGTTTGTGCCCATAACAAACGGAATTCAGCAGGTGCCTGCGGCATTTGGAAATCTCCGAGCAAAATGCCGTGTCTCTGCCTCTTGGCAGCCTCACTGTCATTACCACAGTGGTTCCTGAGCTTGGACCCGGTGCTCCCTGTACAGACCGTACAGAGGAGGAGAGCGCTCACGTTCTAACTGTATCGTGCATTACATGTAAGTCACCCCATCCTAACAAGCGATCCTAACAGCCATTTCACAGAATCCATGTGAATGCAGATCCTTCCTCGGCCAGCCCCTGAAGATCCTTTTTATTCCAGGAAAGCATGGTCTTAAACTAGAGGTTAGCCTAAAAGAAAACCTCAGATCTAAACTACCCCTGAAACCCTGGGGATATTTGGATCCAGACTTTCTGACTTCCCTTCACTCTGAATGGCCTGAACCAGAACCCTAGATCAAAACCTTGCTGAACTACAGAACACTGGGGATCCATCCAAATCTTGTGGCTTGGAGCCATCTCTCCTTGAAATCCTTGAATGCTCCCTTTCTAATAGTCTCGGTTGCTGCACTCCTCTCTCAGGTCAGGAAGAAAACAAATCGCTTCCTCTGAGGAAAGCACCTAGATGGAGGAGTCGGTTTTATCAAGTACGTTTTTGAACTTCTCTAGCAGAAATAAAGAACCATGAGACCTATTTGAAATTAATGGAGACAAGAGGGGGTTTTCTTCCCACTCGCCAAACCTCTGAGGATGAAACTGATCTTTACTTTCTGCTTGCAGAATATCCAGATTTGTTGCACTGTGGAATTTGTTTGCAGTCTTCTTGTGTCTCTTAATGTTGAACAAAGTCTACATGAGCCAGAGATGTGTTGCAATATGATCAACACAGTTAGGGGCTCAGCAACGTAGCCTACTGACACAGCGGAGATACGCTCTTTTTTCCATGAGCCTCAAGGTATTTGGGAAGTGGGGATTACCAGCACAAGACCTGACGCTTGCATGTGGCAGTCACCTGAACGTACAACGTGCCCAATGCTCTTTAAAATTTTGTATGGAAAAAATCCTAGGCTCCAAAGGGTTAAAGCCAAATCTAAATCACTCAGAAACTATGGCTAGAGGTAAATAAAAAAAGTCACCCTCCATGAGGACCTACAATTCCCCTAGGGCCCTGATGGGGCAGTATTTGCAGTGCAGCACCCCTAGGAAAATGAAAACCTGGCACCCCCAGGTTGATGATGACTTCTCTTTTCATTGGGCGCTGTGAATTTTTCAGTCTGCCCATGTGATGTGCTTGTGGGCCCCCTGACTGCTCCTCTTATAGAGCCTGATCCTGCACCCATTGAAGCCAATAACAAAGCTTGCGTTGGGCTCAATTCTCCCAGTGTCTGAGCTCTACTTGGGACAGGGGCAGAAACATCAAGGAGACCCTTAGTGGGTGCTACCTGGCCCCAGCATTAGTTAGGGACTCTTGAAAGACTGGGTGCCACAGGCTGACAGATGCCGCATCCCCAATGGCAGGGTTGGTGCAGAAGCAGCTTCCACAAACTTTATACCAGCACTGGGTTTCCATCCACCACGATAATTCTCAGCAGGCTGATTATGGCCAGGATCTGTCCACTTTATGCAGCAACAAACAGCCAGAGCAGAAAGTGTGGCCCCTTGATTTCAAAGGGGCAGGATCAGGGCTAGAGTCTCTCCTTCACGCACAGTGTCCTTTGTGTTTTAACCCTTTGGGTATGTTTGAAAATGGAAGTAAATAGCTTAGTGATCGAAGAAGAATGGAGAACAACATAAAGCCGGGTGTGAACCACAACCTAGATACGGCCTCCATCCTCCCCAAACTTTGGGGGAGTTTTGATCTGAATCTGACTCCCGCAATTTGCAGTTTGGGCCCATTTGTAGCTGAGCAGCTTTGGAACAGTCACTGTGAGTTCCCTGTGGAATTTGAACACAATTCCCTCGAGGTTCTGGCATAATTCCTCCTCCCCCTCCCAACAGGCTGTTCTAGAAGATCAGATACATGGGAACTGCTGAAAGTATCTGAGAAAAAGCCTGAGAGAAACTACAAAAGCTGCCAAAGAGAGAATTATCCTTTTTCCTATCGGGTTTTGAATGTAATCCAGAAATAAGATTTCTGAGTAACTGGTGAGCAATGGAAATCTGAAATTAATTCCAATGATACTGCATTACCCCATAATGGCCACCAGATGGTGTGCATCTTGTTCCAGGACCAATTGTTTTCCTATTATTAGTGTTACTCTGATGTTATCAGCAGGTATTTACCATCCAGGACAAAGCACATGTCTCAAAAAACTTACACATTTCATAAATCAGAGCAGCTGTATTCCACCAAAAACCCAGCAACTGATAAATACAGAACGCCACAAGTATGCTTTCAGGGTCCTAAGTATTACTACATCAAGATTCAGTGGTAGCAAGCTTGTCAATTTCTTCGAAGTCCCAATTTCAGGGGCTGCCTGTCAGAAATCCTGAAGACATCTCATTGTGAACAGACATTAAAAGGTGGGCCATCTCCTACTTTGTGGGCTAGATCCTGAGGTCCTTACTCAGATTTTACTCAGTCCTTCGCTGGACACAATTCCAACTGACAACAATATTCTTGTGACATATTTGATTAACGCGTATAGCTTTTAATTTTGCATGCCCCTGGAAAGCTGTTGATAGATGCAGTGTATAAGTGTAAACAAATCAATAAGGACAGAATAAGGATTTGGCCCTGTATACCTTGATGTTCGATAACCTCCGCTCTCCCCCTCACCCCCCCACATAAACAAACAAAACCCCTGCCATATAATTAGCACAGAAGTACGCTTCCCCCGTGGCAGACTCTGGACCAGCTCCTCAACTGGCGTAAATGCAGCATAGCTCCATTGACTATCTAGTCTAAGAGTACAAAAACCCATTTAGAGCTGCATTTTGCCAGCCTAATGCAGAGTAGTACCATACTCTATTGAATTCAATGAGACTAAGGAAGTAAGGTAATACTCATACTCAATATAAGTAATGCCAGCAAAATCTGGCCCACAGCAATCAAACAACTACTTACCAATGACCCCAGTACTGGTACCTTTATATAAAGTTCAGCAATGGAGTTACTGGGGATTTGTGTTTTTCTTTTCAATATTGTGTCTGACAACTATTTCTTCTTGCCGGATTAGGGCCCAATACTATGCACAATTAGGCCCAGGCTCAGCAAAGCATTTAAGCATGTGCTCAAATCTATGCCTTTCACATTCACTTGAAATTTAGACACATGCTTAAGTGCTTTCCTGAATCTTGCATCGAATGATTTCGATAGCACTGTTCACAGTACTAAGGGATTACATCTGAAAGTAAGTGTTTCCACGATCAGGCTCTTAAAGCGTATTACATCTGCTGGGTGGTGTTGATGGCCCAAAGCATTACAAACAAGCTAAAGAACTTTTCCAGAAGTTTTACCACCAAGACTCTCTCTACAGGCTCAAATGGTGAACTGAGCTATTCAGACTTTGAATTCTTAGAGCTACATCCTAAACTGTGGCAACTCAAATATATACTGAGCTAATTCTGTGGGAATCTCAGGAAAACGTGTTCATGTCACCATCTGACTGCATCTAAAAAACTGCACAACAAGGAGAAATCAGTGGCTCTCTGGATTAATAATACAAACTCAGAACTGACAGGCACTAATTCCATCTGCAATTCACTACCTTTAGCATCAGAGTTATCCCACTGGTAAAGACTCTTAGGTCTGGAGTACATTGTAGTCACAGTCAACTGCACTGATGGGGGGAACATGGCTGTGCCCTTTCGTAACTTTCGGGTTGTTCTGACATCTGTAGTGAGCTCCCAAGAGACGAGGTCAGCTCTGCAGGCTTTGCTGGTAATAGAATCGGTGTGCATTAAAGTTATACTGCAGCAGCCAGGGACAATAAATTACGCATGGCCATTTTCTACAGAAAGAATGCAGAGAATAAGCTTTATGCTGTTTTGCCTCCTCCCACCCCACCCCAATAAGACAGTGAGCTGACTCTGCTGCCAAAGTAATTGCTTCATTTAGTGCTAATTGCCCCAAGGAAGAGCTGGGGAGTGGGCAGCGGGGTGGTTGTGTGTTTTGAATGTAGCACCATCCAGTTTGGATTTGGGCTCTGTATATTACTAAGAGGTAACAGAGCAGCACCGTTTTGCAGAGGAGTTCATTTGCAACTTAAGTGATGGCAAGGACTAAAAACCCAACCTCTGCAGTGCAGTAGATCCTGGAGGACTGATCTCTCCATTGCACGCTTAGCTGGGTGATCGCCCTTCAACGTATGTGAATAACTCACCTCAGTGGAGGTTCTTTGCCCTTCATTTGCTGGTTCAAATCCTGTCTAGAGACTGAAAGTCATTACCACCTGATGGCTGTTTGGGGATGGAGGTGAAATGACTTCAGCGTTTCAGGCAGGTGTCCCCATCACAGCACACACCCAGCCAGGTTCCATGTTGGCCGTATCAGCAGAAAAGTCAAGGAGATGAAAATACCCTCCCACAATTTGTGGCAATGGACCAGACCATGGCATTAAAGAGACCCCGGGTCATGCTGCCCCCAGGTGAGCTCAGGGAGGGATTAGTCCCTTCCGGCGGGAGTAGTCCCT